TGCAAGCTGCGATTTTGATTCAGCTTCCTACTTTAGGCTAGTGTGTTTGGAACTGGTGGCACAAAAGGTTTATTAGAAACAGAGCATCTCTCCAAGTATAAACACACACATGCTCATCCAGATCTTCCTTTATTCCACTGAATAACCTTTCAGGTAGATCAAGGTTGACTTTACTTTCAGAATTTGGAGAATATTTCCTTGCTTTGCTCAAGCAGAACACAAGTCACATCTCTCAATACCTCATAAAATATGAGGGCAGCTAAGGCCTAGAGAGGAATCAGAAGGGAGAAGAGGAGGACAAAACTTTATTTCAGTTGTAACACACACACACAAAAAGAGTTGGTTGTGGGTGTCCAAAAAATTAACTTAGCATTTAATCTTCCGGGTTTTCATACTCAAAGCTTCCTAAGAAGTAACTGTTAATTAACAAACTAATATATAAAATTTCACTAGAAAACACTGCACACCTAAAATTACTACTGCTCTCGCTACCGCACCATCTGTCACCAAGATAGGACTAACTGCTCAACCTCACAAGTAACTGCACTTATTGCATCCCATAACAGAAAACGGATATGACTCATCTGAGCTAAATTCTTAACACTTGACATGAAGGCTGGTAATTGCTGTAAAACTAGATTAAACAGATCCGATAAGCAGGTCTGCTACTCCAAGTAGCTGCCAAAAGCTATGACTTCATTCTCATTCAATTCAGTTTTATGGCGAAAAGAATAGCCCTGACTTGCTGTGGTGCAACTCTCTGTATGAAAATAAAAATATTTGCTTCCAAAAGTGAACAATATTTGCACAGAATTCTAGCACCAAAAGCTGCCTTTTTTAACACACAAAATTGATTTAGAATTATTGCAGTAGAGTCTCATACCCAACTATTCTGTGAGAAACTTATTTTGAACTCCTCCTCTTCCGGTTTGACCTTAAGGATCCCATCAGCTCATAGCTTCTTAACAGAAGAAATGAGTCATGTCTTTTCATATTAGTGAGCATGCTAGCAGTGCCCGCGATCTACTGGACAGCTCACAAATTCACAAAACCTGTACTGTCCTCAGGTGGACAGTAGCCCCTCGCACACTGGAGGGTCTAGCCCTCCAATTTCACCAGAGTTTGCTATTTGCTTCCTTTGTAAAGTGCTAGAAATGTAGAGATGAAATCAACAAGTAGATATATTATTAATTAATGGGAATAAGCCAGTCCTATAGCCAATGGCAGCAATCTTTAGGCAAGACACTAGAAGCGACGCCAACGCTGCATTTGACTAGGAGGTACGAATGCAGGGAGAGCGTGCTCAGTAACCTTGCAAATGGCCAAGGGCAACTTTTCAGGCAGTGACACTGTTCCAGTGGCAGTCTCTGAAACAGAACTAACACCCCAGCTACAAGTGAGGTTATACCTTTGCACTTTCTGGACTAGCATCATAAGGACCAAAGATGAGGAATTTCATTTGAGCTAAAAAGAAAAAAGGAAAAAACAAAACACACAAGCGAAAAAACACAGTAGATTTATTTTGTAATAATATATTTCCATTTAGACTACAAAATTACCTGTTAGGTTTTCTGAATCATAGCAGACCGCAAAAAGCCATGCTAACCTAACTAGCCCACAGCTGAACTCAGGAGACTACGCAAAAAACCTTATGAACTCCTCAATTCCAACCGACTAAGCCAGTGGTCCAAGGGAAAGTTTGAAGACAGGTTAGCAGACCCCAAAATGCTGTGACTCACCATTTACAAATTTAGCAGGTATTCAGTTATCCTATATTTTTATTCCTTCTCTACTTTATGTGAAGAATAAATATAAATATTTCCATCCCACTAATTTCTGAAAGTCAATTAATATGCTAAGTGGCTTGGTACCAATTAACTAAAATAGCTCAGTATGCAAGATTTAACTGCAAGATTCACCCTGAGCATCAAGCTCCATTCAAGTTCAAGAGAGGAGCTCATATGGTAACAGTCATTAACGCTAAAAATAAAGAATTTTCAGCATTATTTTTTTTCCTAAAACAATTATTACCCCATTGTTCCTAGTGTGAATAGAAAAGCTTCACAGATGCAAGTCTTTGAACTATTGCTAATGAAAGCAATATTCGGCTTTACACGAACTAAACAACCGACACAGCTGGTAAGAAATATATCTCACTTTTGATTTGTAAAATATTAGCATTTGAATTCCTATGCTTCAGTCTCTTTTTAAATTTCTAAATAAAACACTGGAGAAATGAAACCACTTAAAATTAAGAAACATCAGAGGGATTCTTGGCGGGGTGGGGGGAGGCAGTAACCACCACCTGCTCAGTTTCATTTTTAACAGAGTAACCATCTTCCACAAACAGGGAGATTTGTCTAAAAATGCAAGGATACAAGGACCACCATATTAAGCCATGAAACCAGGAACCAATGTTTCCACTACCGAACATAACTTTTACGATGTCCAAGTCAAGCTCCTGAAGCTTCGCTTCTTTCACAGTCAAGCTTTTTCCTTTTCCATATTAAAGGCTTATTACAAGTCTTTCCATTATAACAGCAATAATTCAAAAAATTAAAATATGCTGCAATCCATCACTGAAAAATTTGATCTTTCATCAAAATGAGAATAGAGAAGTACTCCCTCAGTTTTTCCTTCTAGTTGGACTTTACGAACATTTGGACATGTTGCACTTACAATGTAAAAAAGTGTTGTATGTTTGTATCAGTCATGAACTTTTCCATGTCACATGTAGAGACAAATTTGTGATCTGTACTGGAAATGCCACTCAAGTGCTGTACTGGATACCTAGTCCTCTATTTATTATTTTGGAAGTTTTAAATTTTTCTTCCCCTAAGAGCAGAGCATATTAGCAGATTATTGATAACTACACAGGCCTAAGCCATTCATTACACTTAGGTGTAAGAGAAAAGTACCCTGAATTTGGAAGCCGAGCTAACAAGGCAGTCCCCAGGGCTGTGCCCCGACAGACACGATAGCTTTAACCCACCCTCTTGGGATACACACAGCCCAGAAACTCCACTGCCAACACAAACTTCCAAATGATTTTTCAGTGGGCACACCTGCTGGGCCCAAGCTAGGAAGCCATGAACGAACGCTAAAGGGTTACACGTGCCCCACACCACTCTGTGGCATGAGGACCAAGCTGCACAGAAAGGCCCATGTCTGTACTGCGCTCTCCTGCGCTCGGGTGAGCCCTTCAAATTGCCTACCGGGAATGCTCCCAAACTACAAGCAATCATTTGGGATCAGGTATTAAGAATGCACTAAAACTAAGGCCTGAACTGTTCTAGGCATTTAACAGCATGCACAGCAGAGCCCTAGTAGCTGCAGATTCACTCTCCACTCTGCCAGCTGAGATCCTGAATCTTTGAACTTCCAGCTGCTGGGATGTCCTGAAGTTTCTGTTCCAGTCCAGAGCAAAATTCAAGTCATATTTTGAAGTTCACAGGAAAACAGAAAGTTTCTGAAAAAAACAGCAAGTTGAAAGCACAACCAGCTGGCACAGCCAACACGACATACACTCCTTACCCACGCTTACTGGGAGAGGAAAGGGTATGAAGCAATGCACAGCTAGACAAGAAAACGATGAAACCACACCTTCAGGCAACCTAAACTCGTTGCTGCAGTCCCACTCCCAGTCTGGCCTCTGGAACTCATGCTGAAACACATTCAGTCAGCTGAGGGAACTTACTCAGCTGAAAGCTAAACAAGAAATTAAAAAATACATATATACATACATAATTATCACTGGTCAGCTGCCTGACCTGCCTTACAGTGAAACTACGTGAACGCTGAAAGTTGGCAAGTGGCAAGAAAGAGCTACGTTGGCATGTTTTTCTCCCTACTTAATCTGTCATGGGATAGCACCTCACAGATGCATAATATTCTTCGATGGTGCTAGCAGTCTTCTCTAGTAAGAACTACACACAAGATTAAGCCATACCACCTTCTTTTCCTTCTAGTCATTGAAACTATAGACACGTCTGGATATTTTTGCTGAAGGATGATTCTCTTATCTGATATTAATAAGCATATTGCTGCGACAGTCATCTTACTAGTACTTATTTTTTTAAACAGCACCACAGATTCTTGCCAAAACAGGTTGTGCCCACTAGGCCTTTTAGTGTTGGAGCCTGGTACAGCTTTACTGTAACTGTACTCACAGAAGCACCTACAATAGTAGTTCTCACCCAACAGTTTCAAGTCACCATATCCACTGAATAACTAGTTTCTTATGAACAGATTTGAATCCTGAAGACCTGCCAGTTTCTAGGCAGTCCACATAGACTGAAATCCACCAGCAAGCAGGCTTGGGAAGTCTCTGGTGAAAGTTTCCTGGTAGGCAGCTCTCCTTAAAGTACTGAGGACAAGATGAAAGAGACAAAATTATCAGGTTGCCAACCCATTGATCATTCAAAACAAGGACACTTAAGGGATGTAGCAGAAAACAACCCCAAAATGTGAGCAGTTAAACAACAAAAAGGACGGGAAGTTTTTCAGTCACACACCCATCTGGCAGGGTTCGCAACAGAAGCTCTTCCTTTAGTTTTAGTCCATTTCCCTAGTGCTATTATTGCATTTTGTCCCTCTTGCATCAGCTGGAAATGGAATCTCATGGATTCAGATGATACGGATTCCTGCCAACAATCCTGTTTGCTCGTTTCTTTTGCAGAACATTTTTTATAAACATATTTTTCATAATTTCTTCCTTTTCTTCAAAACCACAAAATGCTCCCAAGTAAGTATCCACTGAGATACGTCAACCAAGTTAAAGCTACAAGACCTTCTGTTATTGCATCTCAGAGACAGCGGTGCAGAGTGAAGCGTCAGCATGAGCTGTCCGAGCAGCAGCTAAATCCAGCCTACAGGGCACTGAAACTGCCTCCCACCAGAGGAGAAGGAGGGCCTTGCACGCCCTGCGGCAGGTCCTGCCCCAGCTTTTGGATGCAGCAGGGCAGCATCACACGAGCTGGCCCCTGGAGAACGCTGCCCACATGGGCCTGGGCTACAGCAGCTGCCGTGAGCTTGTGGCCAGGCTGGAGGGCTCCCCGCCTTGTGCCAAGGGGGCCAGGAAGGGCTCTTCTGTGGCAGCTCCAGACTTCACCCCTGCAGAAGGTTTTTGGTGGCCACGGTAAGTGATGCTATGGCCAGCTGCCCTTGCTCGGTGAGACTGCATGGCACGGGGCAAAGCAGACAGCGCTCTGCTCTCTGTGAGAGAGACCCAGGGCAGAAGGCAGGACACTCCAGAAGCAGACAGCGCCGTGGGATCCCAGCGTTTCCTCACGCAACACAGCACGGGCCACGTGAGCCTGCACTCCGGAGACGGGTAATGCCTGGAAAGACTGCCTTCTCCCTCCCTTTTCCCTTTAGGGCTGCAGTGCTAGGGACCATGCTCTGCACACACCCATGGAATGCCAAAGAAGCTTCCTGCTTTGAGCAGCAGGTACCGGATTGTCGAATCCTGCAGTTGAACAGGATATTTCAGAAGCTCCACTTTTCTCTATGCCCTGCAATCTTTCATCATGTTGCCTCCTATGCACCGTGTTCACTTTGCCCACAGTTGTTATTCCTAGCTAATAAATCAGGAAAATCTCCAACTATAGTGACAATCCATAAAGGCACCAAGAGGGGCAAAATATGCTCAGCCAGAAATATAATGAGATGAGAAGCACTAAGCTTTTGAGCTATACAATTTAAAAGCAAAAAAGTTCTGTCCCACTATGCACTCAAAAAGCAGCTGTGGAAGGTAGCACGGCCTGACTTTCACTGCAAGACAATAACAATCTTGAAACATAATAGTATATGGAATTAATTAATTGGGGAAGTTTAACTCTTGAAATAAGCTTCTCACCATAAGCTGAAGAAAACAGCTTTTGTAGTACTTTGCTTGGAAATGTTTTCAGTAAATTGCAAAACCGCGCAAATACACGTTGCAGGTCTCTAAGTATCAAATTAAGAACACTTAGTATTATAGGAAGTACCAGTGCAGCCAACCTCTACAGAAAGCAAAACAATAAAACTGACCTCAAGGGAAGAAATAATAAAAGAAAATATATTTTAGCTCATTTGCACAGGTAACAGCCTCTTAATTTCTAGGGAACATGATCAACTCAGTATTACCCATCTTTCTCAATAGCATGTTCCTGGGATTCTGATGGTGTTTGGACCCAACCAAACTCCGCTCCTAAGGAGCCTGGGAAGGATTCCCAGCTCTTCACACCAACTATCTGGCAAAGACTTTCCCCTTCCTGCTGTGACCTGGAAGAAAAGATTGTGTTCAGGAAGTGACCGGCTTCTGCCCATCTGCCCAAACGCCCCATGTTGCAACAGTCACTCGGCCTGCTTGGAGCGAGCGAGGAAGGGCGCTGCACATCCCAAAAGCCTGACTGGGACCTGCACGCTGTGCCGTAGCCAGCAGCTGGGAGCAGAGTGAACACCACACCAGCACACATGCACCTTCGCTGAGCTCAAGGCCTCTGCACACAGATCACCTGCAAAGTTCATGCTAGAAGTCTGAGCAGCCTTACCTCGGGCACGGCCTTGAAAGGTGGCAATAAACCAGGGAGACGTGAAATAAAGCCAGGCTTCTAGCCTCGGCTTGCCTCCCCTCACTGCTATTTCTCCACAGGGAAAGAACAGCACCACCATGCTTTTAATAGTGCATGCACCTGTAAAAACCATCTCGAAGGTGGAGCAGAGGAAGCAGGCACTTTAATCAGTGGGTGTGCCTCTATGGTGGAGTTAAATGAGGCACTTGGCTGCTGTGTCTACGTAACCGGATAAATTTATCCCAGCCATGTGGGGCTGCACTTCAGAATCATAAGTGAGTTCCTACAGTCTCATGGGTATTTCTGTCCTTTGTTCCTGCCTCAGGGCTTTCCGAGACTCGTTACTCCTGCAAATCGCAGGACTTGCTTCTCCTGTTGGAAAAATGAGAAGTCAAGGGAGGCTGCTGTAGGACTTTAAACTCGTGACAATCACTTATCCTGCATTTTCACACTACAGGTCTCAGTCTATAGTCCCTGGTGAGCCACAAAGTATGCACTGGACACCTCATACCTGCATCCAGTGCTGATTGCAAAAAGGGGAAGAGAAGCAGACAAATCCTGCCAGCCACTTTGGATAACTCCTCTGTGAGGACACCACTGAAAAGCTGTACTCACCACTGCAAGTGCCAGCTGCTAACTTAGCAAAAAGCCACACTCTCAGCAAGACACATCCACTGATGCCATCAGCAAGAAAGCCCCAGAGCATCTCATTCACTTTATTATAATAAAGGGAGAAATGCAGAGCCAGGTTTTCACAAGGGTATGCAATTGCTAAATCAAAATAAATGTTTCTTATGGGATTTGCAAGAGTGCTGATTCCCACTGATTTCAAATGACACAGTCTGTGGGAAATCTTTAAGATGCAGTCAACATCTAGCTGCATTTAAGTGCATCTTAAAGATTATTTACAATGGCAGACACAATTTAAAGCAGCATTCAAGTGCAGCATGCCACTGTTGCTGGTCTCATTAGCAGTACTCCATAATCATTTTCTTGACTACATTTGCCCCAGTCAAGATACAAACTTAGTTTTCAGAGACAAAAAAAAAGGACACAATAAAAACAAGTAGCCTGCGCTTATGTTATGTAAAGCTCAGTCTGAGGGTTTATTTTCAGTTGGAATGCAATTTTTTTTACAGATATTTACCTACAATTGAAAAAAAAAAGTCCCAACTGCCCTCTGTCCCACATGCTCTTCCATAAAAGATGACTTCGCTCAGTGCTTCTTACATGTACCTCATTCAAGCAAATGTTGTATTTCTGAATATATTGGTGCATATGAATATGAGCCACACAAACTTAGGAGGAGATAACTACTGCAAGCAGTAGATGTTGTGGGGAATCTGAAGCAGGGGGCTGTTATGAAAGAAGAGGATCCCAGCAAGGGCTTCCTTTTTACTAACCACATGCATGCAAAGCCCACATTGAAACTGAGCTGCGGAGTTTTTTTAGTTACACTTTACAAATATAATTTGCAGATGACCTATGTATGAAAATACAGCACTTCTTAAACAAAAACTGCAGCTTTCCAAAGAGCTAGAGATGAAAGGAATAACTTTTAAGTAGAATACTCTTAAAAGTGAGCTCTTCTCCACCGTGAAACAGAAGAAAACAACCTGGTGTAAATTTGAAACTTTCACTAGCTTAATTCTATTTTGTTTAACAGAGTAACAGATTAGAAAATACACTGCAGAAGGTAATAATGCTAAATCACACATTTGGCTTTTTCTATTTCTTGCCTGATCCTTTAAACATCTGTAACAAATTGTTTCACTCTGCTGCCACTTGTTACACATATGCAGCTCTGTATTGTGCTGCTTTACTTTAGAAAGTGACTAAAAAGAGAAGTAATGGCTGTGGTAAATTCAGGAGTCATTTCTGTATGACACATCCTGTTCAGAGCTACAGAAATGCAAACAGCAGAAAATAAAGCAGTCAAGGGCTTCCTTCTGTGTTGCTCTCAAGAAGCGTTTATCTAGCTTCATCCAGGCTTTCTTCCCCCACCCATTGGAGAATATATTTTCCTGCTGCCCTCTCATATAGCTGTTTTCATATGCGGTGCAGAGCACTGTTTACACCATTGCACTTACCCAAATATCTCATCGATGCCATTGGGAGATTTAATAAATCAGCACTGCAAGAGCATATCCTAACACTGTCTGCATTAGAGCATCAGCTGGAGATTCACACCAGCCACAGGGCTTTGTGCCCAGAGCATCCCTGCAGAGGCTCTGAGAGCACGGGTGCCTGGGAAGAGCAAGGAGGAAGGTCTTGCTGAGCAGCAAAGCTACAAAATGAGGAGAAGTCACTTGCAAAGAGCATCCAGGTCCCACAGCAAACATAAGCTTCACACTTCTACTGAGCTCCTCCTAGATCAGAGATAAACTAAATGGGATACTGGTCTTCCACGCAGCTGCTGGCAGGTAGTCTACTGGAAGTTACGCCTAGAGTATCACTATTGGGATCCGGTTAAGAAGTTTGCAGTGCTAAACAAAAAACCAAACCTCTTTGAACATGAGTTCCACTGACACTGCTACTCAGTTTGTTTGTTTTAAAGTAGCTGTCCATGACTCTGAAGCCGGACAAGGGTAACACACCAGGAGAACTTCTCCTGCTTTGTAACAAAAACTACCATTTGTGCGGTGACTGTCTAGGCAGGCCTCTATAAAAAGAATACAGTACTTCAGCAGCAGACATGGGGGGAAGAAGAGAGGAAGTGTCCAAATCTTATGAAACGTGATGGATTCAAGTGCTGCCTCATCGCAGAGAGAGCGTGCGCTGTTTCAAGTGTCTGACAAAACCTCTATTAGTGAAATTTTAATAATAATAATAATAATATGAAGCACAGAGAATAAATTAGTGAAGAAACCAATTGTTTTGGAAAAGAGTCAGAGTGGAATAGAATAGCACTCACTCACTCTCCCTCTGGTACTACAAACAGCTAACACCAGGGAAAACAAATAAGTCAACTTCTTGAAATCAAGAACACTTTTTAATTTTTTTCTTTTAAATCACTTCCTTGTACTATAAGGGGAGAGTTTGCACTGCTGTGTCACAATCACAAACTTCCAGGAAACTTCTATTAAGGCATAAATCTCTTAAAGAAACAGAACCATTTTGTTCAAATCCTAAGGTGTTTAAAGTGTGAAATAAAGGATTCTTTAAACTTAACATCTCTCAGAATAAATAAAAAGAAACCCCAGGAGTACAGATGGGCTCAGGTGCTGCTTTACTTCATGTATGTGTGCTGGTAAGTGCTTAAACCACAATCCACACAAGTTCTACGAAGTATGCACAAAATAATTTGGACGCAGAACATCATCCAAGCAAAATTCGTGTTTACACAAGTGAATGCCTTGGCTCTCTGAAGATTAGCCTTTTGGGGCCAAGATTCTCCAGGTACATTGCAGTAAGTTCCCTTGCATTCTTAAGCCCAGAGAGCTGGCACCAACTTGCCAGCCCAAATTTACACAGATTCCAAAAACAATTACACTGAATTCCAGAAACAGCGATCTGAAGCTAAACCCATTACCTGTTATTCAATGAACTCTATTTTATTTAATCATTGACACTGTGGGGAGTT